CGGTGGCTGAAAGATCAAGCAATAATGAAATTGGTTGTAGTTTTAGGAGGCTAAGTTGACGTTTCTGTGTAAACGGTTCAATTACCAGATGGAACAGTTTATTTGAAATATGTAAACTTTGTAAAACCGTTTGAAATATAGTTAAGGGCAGTTTTCGTTCGACGTTTGAGGAAATTTAAAAATGTTTCTCAAACTAAATAACTTTTCTGAAGAAAGGGTAGAGGTGACAATTTAGATTGGAGATTTTAGAAGTGAGGAGGCAAAAAAAAATGTAAATGAAAATAAATTCTGACTAAAGAAGCAGACAAGAGGAGGCTGCCGCCGAAAAAGGAGCATCATTTAAAGAGAAAGTAGTTTAAATAATCAGTCAAAACCTCTTGAAGCAAAAACTGTAAAATTAGACATCTGGAGAACCTATACAATCTTATATTACCAAAATACTCAACTTTTCAAGAAGCACTTGAGACTAATGTTTTGCTCATCAGATTGGGTTGCACAAGTTTCAAATACTTATTTAAGTCTAAATACCTAAAGTGGGGCACTTTTTCAGCCACACCGGCTACACTCAGTTGGTTAACAAAATCGTAAGCTTTCCTAACTTAGGATTCTTTAAAATGGCTTAATATAGAGCGAAAGTAGAAGAATGTTCTAAAATTTCCTTGTTAAATTTTTTAGCAAAATGTCTCTTGTTAATTTTAGCTTTTCTGTGTTGTGCGATGTTAAAGGAACTTTAACTGTTTGCCTTATTTGTGCAAAGTTGTCATAAAAACCAGGATAGATGAGTCTTTCAGTTAGGGCTAAAGCTGGTCTATATATTACTAAAGATATATGACTAGAGAAAAACGACGCTTTGGTACATCTCGATGTGCCTATTGCGGTAGTCTCTGAAATAATTGCTCCACAAAACAGGCTGCTGTCTTTGATGTTTTCGGTTCACCGGAACAAGTTTTATACAATGAAAAATTGGAAATTGTGGGACAGACTCATGGTAGATAAGCACACTTGCTCACTTCACTTTGACTATTGTTTTCCAAAAAAAATCTTTTTTGAGAAGCTTCATAGATATTGAAAAGGATTATAAATTTTTATGCATATGTGAAAAAGGCTAAAGTTTAGAAAAATCAGCGGTGAAAGTCTTTTTCATTTTCAAGGTTTTTAATTTAAGTCATTTTTTAATTTATTCTTGTCATGGTACGTTATTTTCTTATAGGACGTTATAGGCCAAGGTTCTTGTTTGTCATTCTAACTGTATTTAAAATTTGTCTTGCAATTTACTACTGAAGTACTTCTTGAAGAAGCAGTTGTGTACAAAATCTTATAAAGAATTAAAAGTTTTATTACCGTCTACAAAAAACTTCACTGAAAAAACGGGGTTTTTTTTGAGATTGTTCTAAAGAGCATTAAAACAAAGTAAAGTTATAAGTTTAAAGAAAGGTGATAGGGTACATTTAAAATGCAGTACAAATCGTAAAAAAATGACAACATAATTAATTCTGATATGTGTAGAGATGAAAAAGTATTGTTTTAGTCTAATAATAAGGAAGAAGTCAAGGGAGGGAAAAGTACAGCAGAAAATAATGGAAAATAATTGATTATAATAACGCTTATATTCATGTTCCGGTTTAGGTTAATCTAGCATTTAAATTAAATGAATTAAAAAGCTAAAAATTAGTGAATGACGTAGAGCTTTACCGCAATTTATAGTTTGAGCATTTCAACAAGCTTTTGCTGGTTAAGCTCTGTAGACAACAGTGTTCTCTAAAAACAACAATTTTTCGGTATTACTGCCTGTTTCTGTGAAGCTGATAATTGTTACCTTAGCAGTAATGTTTTTTTCCTTCATTTTGCAAAAATTGTGGTTGTTGTTAATTTATAATGGCTTTTTTTTTTAGAAATTATTCAGATATTTGTTTGTTTCATTCTTTTTTCTTCTTATAACTCTTGTTTATATCTATTAGTTTATCATAGCACACTGTAGTCATTGGCAGTTTTCTAAAGCACTCAATTATCAAACAGCAAAATTCCATATTTGTGTAAAAAGCGTTTTCGGAATCAGAAATTTTACGCTTAAACAGCTTTTAGGAACTTCATTTAAATAAAAAAGTTGTTTTTATATAAATGAAGCTCCTCATCTGTCGATTTTGAGAATAGTTACTGGTGGAAGCGTCTTCGTGTTATTACATCATCTTCTCTTTTTTTTATTGCAATACTCAGAACAGTTGTAGCTCTGTCGTTGGTAATTGACGGTCTACTCAAAGTATGTTTAGAAGGCCTGGATCTGAAGAGAAAACCCAAAACTCTAAAAGTAAACTCATTTTAATTTTCTGTTTTCCCACAGTGTAAACTGTAATACATCAAAAATTTACATTGATTGCTTCTTCTACTGCTAAGGGCTTCTAATTTATGACTCGTAAACCTCTTCTCGGCTATACGGACATCTGTGGCTCTTTAAAGGTGGTTTTCGCACTTGTTTAGATACTTTTCACTAAATGGTATCCGCTGAAACAAGAAGCTGGATTTTTTTAATGAGATCTTTTTTTCTCAGCTATTATTACATTATTGAGATGTTTTCTAATTTTTTCAAGACTGAGAAAGACCTATCTAAATATTAAAAACAGTAAGCTCATTTTACTCAGCGCTGTTTGTTCAATTCTTCTTTATTTGGCAAAATAAAAGCCAACAAGTGTACCTGATTAATTGACACTGACTTTAACAGCCAGTTTTCTTGGCTAATTCTCCTGCAGTTTCCTCACTACATTCTTTTAGAAAAATTTATCAAAAGCGCTTAAACACTCTTTGATTTGTCTGTAAATGAAGTGATCATATTTAGTCTTGTCTTATTAACGTTTAAAAAGGCTTTCTTGCAGAGTAGTTTTTGCAGTAGAAAAAAAGTAAGTAGAAAATTGGGATGGAAAATATCTGAGAGTGATAATTACATTCAAGTAATTATAGTCTAAAATTAATAAACGGTTTAAAACTACATTTTTTTCTAGAAAAGGCTAACATAAAACACATCTGAATACATCTTTTCCACGTTTCTCATTTAAGCAGTAGATGTTAAAAAGCATAATTTACAGTTGCTTACAGCTTTGTTCAATGAAATTTTTGTCTTTTTAAGCAGTTTATGGTGGAGGGAATAAGAGTTATTGAATAGCTATTAAGGGAAATTTTATGATTTATCAAGTCTCTCATTTTACCACATTGCTTTTTCTTTCAAGTGACGTTTTAAGCTGTACTTAAGAAAAGTTTTTGTTATTGCCTAGTAATCGCTTTTCAGCTATTAAACAGAAAGTTATTATAGTATTTTGTGAGAAAAGTTATATTAATTTGGTTTATACTGTGTTTAAGGTAGTGCTTCAAAGCATCAATGTCTTCCTTCTTCGGAAATTTCACTGTGAAATAATGAATAAATAAATTTGCTGTAGATTTTTGATATTAATCAAGTTATTCCTTATTATAATTTCAAAAATCACTGCTGTTTTGTCAACCACTGATTTATCAGAATTGTTTTAGTCTAACCAAGCCGTTACACGCTGATGGTGCTTAATCATTATCGCTGTTGACAAATGAGAATTGGACAGTCGTTATTAGCAGGGTTTTGGTCGTCTATAAGGGGACCAAATATTGTCAGTGATTGTACTGATTATGCAATTTTTAAGTTTTGGTTTAGTCACTTTCACTGTTCGACAGCAGTACCACGTGAAACTACAGAAATCTTTGTGAATACTTCAAAACTGATTTTTTTTGGACAAAATTTCTATAAAATTTTCATCAGGTTTTTCTTGCGTGCTTGAAGAAAATGTTACATTTGCATTCTAATGTCATTTTTAACGCTGTTCAAGCTAACCGCGAAGGATATCATCTGAACTGTTCTTTGCCCAGTCTGTTTTTGCGGAACATATCGACTGGCAAAAAGCTAAAGGTCAAATGACTGCGCAATTCGTTTTGCGTTACTAAAACTTTCTTTGTTGAAGAATAAAATTGGTCCAGACGGTTTAAATCTTTTATAGGCTAATTAGCATTTAAATAAGTGTAACGTAGCAATTTTTGCTGAACTTTATGCACTTCCGGTTCTATAATCAAACTTTATGGCT